TCTTTCACTGCTTACGTTTTAGGTGTCATTTAAAACAACATTGCTTAAATCCAAAGTCATAGAGATTTCCTCCTGTATTTTCTTGTAAAAGTGTTAGAGTGGGGGGCAGCGGTGGTGTGGTGGTTAAGGGCACTGAATTCCCACATGGTTGACTGCAGTTAAGTCCTAGACCTGACGGCTTCCTTTCTCACCTTCCTTCTCCCTCTCTCTCTCTCTCTCTCTCTCTCTCTCTGTCCTTCTCTGGTCAAATTTAAATAAATAAACAAACAAATAAATAAAGTTAAATGAAATAATTCTAAAAAGTAAAAACAAAAAGTGTTAGAGTATAGCTCTTACAAATACTTGCATTAAAAAAAAAAAAGCGTAGGGAGCAGCAGTTAGTGTAATGGTTATGTCGACCGCAGTTCAAGTCCTGGATATGGCAGCTTAAACTCATACCGGGCGCATGTGCGTGCGTGCCCAAGATCCCAAGAGGAGAATGGAGGAGAAGGGATTGTGGAGTGGCCATCCCCCCTTGGGGAGTGATTTCTTGCTTTCTGTCTCTCTGTCTCTCCCTGTCTTTCTGGGAGCACACATGCCCTATAGCAAAAACCTCCCCCTCCCCCCAAAAAAGGTAAAGGTATACAAATTGTTAAGAGTGACCACCCAGGGGCCAGCTGGGGGCATGGCGATTAAGGAGCTTTCCTCCCACCTGGACAGTTTGAGTCCTGGACCTGGTGGCTTGAAAAATCACACTGAGTGCATGCATTTGCTTTCCCAAAACCCCGGGAGGAGGAGGAGAAGGGACTGCAGCATGGCCATCCCCCAGGGGGTTGATTTCTCACTGTCTCTGTCTCTCTCTAGTGAGCACATCCTATGACAAAAACAAGCAAGCAAACAAAGATTACTTCTGAAGAAAAAAATGAAATAGAGTTTGGTTCAGGGTTTGAATGGCAATTTTCATTTTGTTTTATTATTTTTTTTAAATAAAAGTCATGTTAATAGTAAAAAGTTCCAATTTCGCAACTCAGAGAAGCGTCCTTTAGCTCTTTGTCTCTGAGTACAGCATATTTGTTTTGTCGTAATCACCGCTATGGTCAATAAAATGTTTCCAAATTTAAACCTTTCTTTTCCGCTATGAAGTATAACTAGGAGTTCTTTAAAAGAGAGTTGAAATTTTAATTTCCACCTTGAACCTACTTGATCAAAAGTGTAAGACATCACTACCATATGAGCTAAAAGGAAGAATGGAATACAAAACAAAAGTGGTGCCTTTTTATCAGCGCACTGCCTGATTAAGACGTTTTAACTATTTCACAGTCCACTGAGCACAAGAATACTGGTTCCAAGATACTTACAGAATTTGGCTTTTTTACTGCAAGCTTTAAACCACAGTGTTACTCTTCTCAACAAGTCATCTCTAAGAAAGTGGCAGTGTTCCTAACTACAAAAATCATTATCTGTAGTAGGTGGTATTCTAGATAGTCAAAATAATTTTTTATAAAAGTAGGTGATTTGTTTTGTTTGTTGGTTTGTTTTTAAGAATTATTTTATTGGCTTATTTATTTTTATTTGATCAGAGAGAGACAGAGTGAAAAAGAGAGAGCGAAAGCGAAAAAGCAAGCAACAGGTCCAGGGCTCGAACTGTGGTCGCCCATGTGGGAGTCCAGTGCCCTTAATCACCATGCCACCTGCCAGATCCTTGTTTTGTTTTTTAAGAGAGATTTTGCTAGTGAACATGCATTCCCTGGAGGGACAGAGAGACAGAAAGTGAGAAATCAACCCCCAGGGGAAAGGTCATGCCACAATCCCTTCTCCATTTTCCTCCCAGGATCTTGGACACACACACACACGCGCGCATTCACACACACACACACACACACACGCATATGTTTTAAGTCTCAAGGTCTGGGAATCGAAGTCGTCAACTGCATCAGAGTCCAGCAACATAACCATTACACCATCTGCTGGTCCATAAAATTAGGTTTAAAGAATATGTAGGGGGGCTGGCGGGTGATGTGGTGTTTAGGTGCGCTGGACTTCCACATGGCCAACTGTGGTTTGAGTCCTGGACCTGGCGGCTTGCTTTCTTACTTTAAATTAAAAAAAAAAAAAAAGGAAAATGTAGAATGCCCTGATAATGACCAGTGAGAAAGGCTCTCACCTTGGTGATGACAATTCTGACTTTTACAGGCTTAATTTCCTGTGTCTAGAACAGAATCCCATTTTATTATTTTATTTATTTATTTATTTATAAATTATTTATTTAACTTTATTCATTCATTCATTTATTTTTAATTTGACCAGAGAGACACGCACAGACAGAGAGAGAGAAGGTGAGAAAGCAAGCCACCAGGTCCAGGATTTGAACTGTCGGCCATGTGGGAGCATCCGGGTCCAGGATTTGAACCGTTGTCAGCTATGTGGGAGCATCCAGCGCCTTAACCACCACGCCACCTGCTGGTCCCTAGAATCCCACTTTAAACCATTATTTGAATGGGGTTCATCATCTTATCTTTTTCTTCACAGGGTGTCTTCATTTCAGTATGCAAGATGCAGGATGGTAACTGAGAGCTGGTTTTTAAAAAAAAATTATTTCATTTAACTTTAGTTATTTCTCTTTTTTAAAAAAATAATTATTTATTTTATTTATTCATTCATTCATTTTTAAATTTGACCAGAGAGAGACAGGGTGACAGTGAGAGAGAGAGAGGAAGTGAGAAAGCAAGCCACCAGATTCAGGACTTGAACCCTGGTCAGCCATGTGGGATCCAGTGCCTTCACGACCTCCATACCACTGACTGGCCCTAGTAATTTTCATTTTCAATTTCATACATGTCCATATTGGTTAGATTTGCTGTTTGTTTGGATTTTCTTTTCTTTTCTTTTTACAAACATGTCTTATTTGTTGGTTTGAAATATCAATCATGTTTTTAAAGGATTCAGGATTGCATGAACATAGTTATACCTGGTCAAAGACTAAACACTACTATGAAAAAAGAAATCACAAAACTAATAATTAGAATGGGGGTAAGGTTTGTGCAGAGAAAGAATTCCTGCACTGACCGTGTCGGTGTTTCTCACTGACTCCAACAGCATAAAGGAAGTATTTCTGTTTCCTGCTATGAAATCTCAAGACAAGGAGAATGTAATCACCACTGATACTCCAGAAAGCACAACGGTTGGTATTTCTGTCTAGAAAGTAGTAACCAGACATCATTTAATTCAGGCATCTTTGCAAACTGCAAAAGATCCAGGTCTGTGAAGGAACGGTGTGTTGTCATTCCTATTATTACAGTTCAGCCACCAGAAGAGAGGAATTAAGAATTTCTTTTCGGGAACCAGCAGTTAGTGCACCGGCTATGTCGCTGGACTCCCATGTAGTCAACTGCAGTTTGCATACCGGAGCCGGTGGCTTAAACTCACGCCGGGCACGTGTGCATGCGTGCCCAAGATCCCAAGAGGAGAATGGAGGAGAAGGGATTGCGGCGTGACCATCCCCCCTGGGGGGTGATTTCTCGCTTTCTGTCTCTATGTCTCTCTCTGTCTGTCTGGTGAGCGCACGCGCCCTATAGCAAAAACCTCTCCAAAAAAAGAAAAAAAAAAAGAATTCCTTTTCACTCCCAAATAAACCATGTCTCGTCTCTTAAAAAAAAAAAAAAGAAGAAAGAAAGAGGGAAAGAAAGAAATCCTCACTAAAGTGATCTCTATGCTGAAACCTGAAGGTGCAAAAGGACTGTGCCGGGTGTGGGAGAGTTTAGTCCTGAAGAGTGAGCGGGACAGCGGGAGATCATACAAAGAATCCACACCCCTTCAGCTGTATGGGTGGAGAAGGAAAGCGGAAAGCACGAGAGACAAGAGGCTGGAGGGTGACAGGGGGCAAAGTCCTTGTCCACGTTGTTGCTGGTTGTTTTTTTTTTTTTTTTTTTGAGAGGTTTTTGCTATAGGGCGCGTGCACTCGCCAGACAGACAGAGACAGAGACAGAAAGCGAGAAATCATCCCCCAGGGGGGATGGCCACGCCGCAATCCCTTCTCCATTCTCCTCTCGGTATCTTGGGCATGCACACACATGCGCCCAGCGTGAGTTTTAAGCCACCGGGTTGGGACTTGAACTGCGGTCGACTACGTGGGAGTCCAGCGACATAGCCATTACGCTAACTGCTGGTCCCTGTCCACGCTGTTTTAAGCAGGCATGCCCTGATCTGATTTGCGTTTTGGAAAATCCTTCAGGAACTGTGACATTGTGGAGGGAAAAGGGAAGGAGCAGGGAGTTCTGTTAGGAGGCGGCTGCACAAATACAAATCAGAGAAGAAATGATGGCGGACAGAGTAGGGCGCTACTCGGGGAGGAGAGAAGGGGTTGGTTTGAGGTCCCGAGGACTCGGCGACTGGTCGAGCGGCCGGGCGGAATGCAGGGGGCGAGGCGAGTCCGGACTGCCCTTCTGGGAGCTCAGCAGCCGGGTGGCCGGTCCGCTAGGTGGAGGTGGAGAGCGGGTCTGGGAAAGGCGACGGCGGCGTCTGGACGCGCGGGAGCTACCTGTGGAGCGTTCCGGAGGCTGAAGTGCCCGCACCGGGCGCCGACGGAGGGGGCTGGCGCCGAGCTGTGCTGACGATGGGAGGAGTCGGCCTTGCCCTTAACCAGAGCCAGGACTCTGGCGAGCAGCAGGGCTAGAGGGAGCCCAACCCGGCCGCCCGAGTGGGCCCCCCGGAGGCCAGGGACAGCCCCTGGAGGAC